GGTAACGCTTGATAGAGCAGACTGATCAACAACGCTCGTCATTTTTAGGCGCGTTACAGTCTTTGAAAAATATTTAGTAAAATTACTTCAGTCTTATATACGAAAGTCGTTCTGCCACCTTAGTATTATCCTTAAAATTTTCCCTTTTATAGCTCACACTATTTTCAGTTGAATACCTGTACGGGTGTCCAGAATTTACAAGTAGTACAATAGTACACACGTGTGCAACTTTCACACCTAGTGTAGTGTGTCACACGTATCGCAGTTTGGTTTGTGTCAACTGTGTAATACGTGTTGTGTACTAGTTAGGGAAAGATGCAAACAATTGAAATTGGTCTCTTGATAGTGGCAAAATAGCTTCTGAAATGTTTCAAAAATTGTTTCGAATTGGAGAATAAATTTGAAAAAGATTCCAAACAATGTTTTGCTACTTTTCTAAATTTGGCGTGAGTTGGCGTTCGCGCAAGAATTGGGCGCGGCGGCGGTGAATAGAGCTGATGAGGTGGTTGTCGAGGTCGTGCGCGGACGGAAAGAAACGGGCACAAATGTCACAGTAGAAGTCCTCGGCCTCGCGCTGAAGGCGAGCCTCGCGTGCGCGGTGTTTCTTCCCACCCCTGTGTTGGCGGAGCTGATGCCTGCCAGTCAACGTGACTTGGCACACCTGGCACGTGAGCAGGGGCGCAGGAGCAGGCTTTTTCCGGATTCGTGAGGTGGCCACGCGATGTAGTGTCCTATTCACGCCTTCCGGTAGAACCGGCAAATTACTTTTTGTTACTGTAGTCTGGGCCTTAATTTGGTGAAGAACCCGTGACGCGCTGTCCACGTGAGCAGAACTATTTGCGTGTAGATTCTGTACACGTGTTGTACACGTGTTGTCTTCTCGTAAACCTTGTCTTCCGGGCGGGGTTGGTCCGCCGGGGTAGCCTCTTCTTCGACGAGGTCCAAAACGGCGATGGAGTCCTCCCCGTCGCTTTCCCCGTTTTCCACAGGCGTGCAGGGTCGAGGCCGTGCGCGTGGCCGAGATATTTCTTCTGACTGCTCTTCGGGGGCTTGCGGTGCCCCAAGGTCCTTGTCTGAATTCGGTTTGAATGCCACTAGAATAGAAATTTGTTCGGCAACTAGGTTCCTATTTTAGAGGTAGCGGAAAAATAAAGAACTTACTCTTTTTATTATTTCCGATGAGAGTTATGCTAAAGAGGAAGGCAGATTTACCCCTTTTTGATAAAACGTACTGCGTTAATATCAAAAAAGAGATAAGAAAACCACTGCTCTCGAAAAGACAAAAAAATCTTGAACTTGAAAGGCTGAGGTTGTCATTTTTCTTCTCGAAGAAACTAGTTGAGTGTAAAGTCTAGACTGTCGCAAAAGTAGAAAAAACAGTAAGTGTTAACCGGCAGGACTGGGCGAGAATGTTCGCGTCAATTTACTGTGCTGGTTGCGTCCTTTCTGCTTCCTTCAACCAGCTATTCTGCCCGGGCTTCCGACTATTTATACTACTACTCCCGCGCGTCTCATCCTCCCGTTTTGCTCTCTTCTTTGCGATTCCTTTGTTGATAATTACGAGTTATTGCATTATCAGTAGAGTCGTTGAGAGAGGCACTGTAGGTTGACAGATGAGGTCAATTGAATTGACCTCATCTGTCAACCTACAGTGCCTGTCCATATTTAATGCACCTTTTTCAACTATTCGGATGCACTTGGCGGGCAGTAACCGTCACTGTCAGCTGATAATTTCCACATTCAATCATGAATATGTTAAATTGGATCAATGAAAAGATGCCCCATCTTCCATGAACACGAATGAATCATCATCATAACAGTACACAAATGACAGGAAATAGTTCTCGAGAGTATTACAGTACGCTGTGGAGTCCTGTATACCATTTTGAAAAGCTAATGAGGACCTTCCTTTCGACGAGAATGCACCTCGAAATCATAACAGATGCACCACCAGCCCGTCGTGAAAAACATTGCTGCTTTTCCGTCATCAAATCCCTCCAATAGTACTGAAATCCGTCAGGTCCATCTAGATTGAACCTTTTCGCACTGAAGAAAATAACGTCGTCCCATTCCTAGGACTAATGAGCATGATTGGTCGCCCAGTTCACACGGGCGGTTGTATGATCATCAGTCAATAGTAGGACGGGATTGCGTTTCTGATACTTGTTCGTCTCTTGCCTCTTGACCTCGCACCATACTGTTTGGCGGGACACCTGTAAATCGAGGTTTCTTTTAACTGAGGGGCAGCTCTGAGATTCTTTAGAAATCTCCATTTTATCTCCCTTTTCTCCCTTGGTGATAGCTTTGACGGCATTCAGGGACTTTTATTAGTCCCATACGACGCGGGGTCTCTTAAAACGTTAGCCATAAATTTTCCAGAGCGATTTAGACGCCTCCCTATCTCAGTCGAGATTAAGCCTTCTTCTTTAAACGCGAGGATCTTTCCTTGCTCGACAAGTGTGAGCTTTGTTCCTCTCGGAAATTTAGGTGGTGTAAAGCGGTTGTTCGGTGGTATCAGTTGCTTTCGGAATGCTGAAGATCAATTATAAACCGTGTTGAAGTGGTAATCGAGTATAATAATTAGGTTTTTATTTGGCACAGAGTGTATAAAGATACTTATGTTACTAACGGATACAAACGATGCTGCCGTTGTATTTTTAACGTCCTCAGAGTGTTTTGGCTTCGTCTTGGAGTAATAAGCGCAAATCGTTCTCTGTGCAAGGCCTTGCAGACTGCAGTACGACATTTTTCCGGAAACGGCTATATTTTTGTAACGCACTGTACAGTGTCTTCTAGTCGGGTGTGGTACATGTAAGCAGTACTTCGTCAGATGCAACCGCGCGAAGCGGAAGAGTAAACAATTGTCCAGTTTCGTTTCATATTTCTGTCTGTCGACTTGTTGAGCGACACTGAGTGCGAAATTTCCGCACCAGGATTTCTTCTGCGGCAAGTAAGCCGTACGAGATTTTACCGCAATGTACCCCAGGGGTACAGTGCGTACTGAAAGTATAAGGACACCATTGAAACCTTGACCTTACACAAAAATACGAAAGATATGATCATGAAAAGCAGCTCAAACGAAAGAGAAGAGAAAGAGTGTACAGAAGCTGCAATCGTTTTTATACTATGATACTTGTACGGTGACTTATCTTAAAAAACCTAATTACAGCCGCACTGTAATTGTAAGGACAAACAAAAAGTGCAATCAAAACCCTCCTTTATTTCGATCTCAATAAGACGTGCGGTCGCCATTCTTCTGCAAAACAGCAATGCAACGCCCCTGCATCGATCCAACGAGATTCTCAAGAATACTGTGGTCGATATTCTGCCAGCAATCGACAATAGCCTCAAACAGCTCTACAGTATCCTGGTACTGTCTCCCATTTCCATACACACTCCTCGCTAAGATCCCCCATATATTTTCGATGGGATTGAGGTCTGGTGAACGCGAAGGCCACGGTAAAACAGCAACGCCATTGTCCGTAAACCATTTCTTGGTATAAAAAAAACGATGTATAGAGGCGTTATCTTGGTGATACGTTCAATTCTAACCATGCGTCACTGCCGCAAACGGTAACAAATCGTCATTAAGTAGTTCACAGTACTTTGCAGAATCCGGTTTCCCATACATTATTACTAAATTGTTCCGTCCGTAATAAGAGAAGCAAACCCAAATCATTAAAGAATCACCTCCTTGGTGACGTCTGCTTAAAACTTTTTCTCCCTTCTTAAGTCATGCCAATAATAATGAAAACCATCGGGGCCATCCAAATTGAACTTCTTCTCGTCAGAAAAATAATTTTGTTCCATTTCTCATCATCCCAAGTAACATGATTTTTAGCCCAATGTAGCCTTCGTTGCATATGCATTGGAGTGAGGACTGGAGCACTTACAAACTTGGTGTACTTTAGATTAGTATCTTTCCTCAAAAGAGCTTGTACGCGCGACCGGTGGACCGGTAAATCGAGTGCCTTGCGGATCTGATTGGCCGACTTTTCTCCTTTAGAAGCCTCCCTTATTACTCTGCGCTTTAAAGCGGGCGTTAGTTTAGGAGGCCTTCCACTCCTCTTTTCAGATCAATATGCTTGCGGATTCATAATAAAGTTGTGCACGGCGGTCTTCGATCTGTTGATGGACTCTGCGATCTCTAGGACTAACAAGCATTCGTTGTGGAGAACGAGAATTTGACCTTTTTCCACGTCTGTCAACTGCTTCCCTTTCGGCATGTTGAGTAGCTAGATGGTGGGCATCGGTTGGCGGGGATGGCCGGGCGTGTTCGAGAAGATAGTACTGTAGCGTTTTGGTTGCGCGAAAAATGGTTTACTCTGCTACGTTATCGGTAATCGTGAATTGTCCTTATAATTACAGCGCGGTGGTATTTAGTTTTTTAAAGATAAGTCACCGTAGAAGGATCATAGTATAAAAACGATTGCAGCTTCTGTACACTCTTTCTCTTCCCTTTCGTTTGAGCTGCTTTTCATGATCATATCTTTCGTATTTTTGTGTAAGGTCAAGGTTTCAATGGTGTCCTTATACTTTCAGTGCGCACTGTACCACACGAAGGGTACCGCGGGCGACACAGATTATTTCAAGTCATTGTTCTGCCATCACAGATCGTTATTCCAGGTCCTTTTGCAATGAGAAGGGGGGGTGCTGTGATATTTTTCAACAAATTCGATGCCCTTGCTGTGGCCCGCTGTAATTCAATTTATTGAGAATTGTATTTAAAAATGAGGGTGCATATCGCGTATGATAAAAAAGTTTACATACATCCAAGGAGAACCCATTCGCGGTCGTGGAATAGTGTCCACGTGTACACAACGGTTTCATTTCGATCATAACTTTTGCTTTACAGTTAGAACTCGCTTCGGTTCTTCACACGTTTTGCCCCAGCCGGACCACGTGTCCACTTACGACACATGTGAAGAGCCCCGACTCGGCCGCCCTCAGATCCACAACTGCGCGGCACCAAGTCGTCCCGCAATTCGCCCTCCTCCCCGCTACTCAACAAAGAACACCCTCCCCGGCCGCGGCCGCACCTCAGAGTTGCGTCTCAGCACCGCCGCCATCCCGCCGCCGCCCTCAAACAGCTCCGTCACCCTCCCCACCTTCCCGCGCATCGCCATGAGCCCCTCATCCCCTCTCCAATAAAACGCGTCCCCATCCCGCAGCCTCTCGAACTGCATCTCCCACACCTTTCCCATCGTCTCCCCCATCCCGCCCTCCTTGCTCTCCGCGACCATCCCGACCCACGCGTCCACGCTCTCCACCTTCCCGTACACGCCCATCAGCGCCGCGCGCACCGCCGTCGCCGCAGGCATGTCCGCGAACCCCCGCACCGTCCCCAGCCCCACCAGCTCGCGCACCCGCGCGTACCCCGGGATCGCGTGGTCGCGCCCGCGCTGGATGTTCAGCGCGATCAGGTCCACCCCGCTCTCCTCCGCCACCCCCGTGAACAGGAAGTCCCGCACGCTGTCGTGCACCAGCAGGTCCACCTCCTGCGCCGCCGTGCCCGCCGCCGCCCGCAGGAAGTCGTCGATCCCGTCCGCCAGCGCGTCCGCCCCGCGGAAGAACGTCTCGGACATGCGCAACGCCGACTTGCTAACCCCGTCGCGCCCGACCCGCCGCACCACGTTGCCCACCATCGTGTGCCCCACACGGAACGCCGCCGTCGAGAACACGTCCAGGATGCTCACGTCCACGTCGGGCCGGAACCCCCTGTACGCCGGCAGAGCCCGCCCCGTCATCGCCGGGTAGAATTCCTCGAATACGATCTTGGCAAACTGCGCCCCGTTGATCTTGCGCGCCGTTTGGTACAGCTGCTCGTCGTTGTAGTCCGGGTACGCTTGCGCAAGCTCGTCGCAGATCGAGTTGTGCTCGCGCATGAACAGCGTGTGGAGGCACGTCAGCATGGGGTGCTCGTTGACGCGCGTCTCGCCGGCGACGAAGAAGCCGGGCGAGTTGTTAGGCGAGTTGGAGAGGCCCCTGTCGTTGAGCGGGAGCAGGTTGCCGGAGCTATTTTTCAGCTTTCCGTCGCGGAAGGAGCGCAGCGCGTCGGCGCGGACCTTGGAGTCGCCGTACACCGTCGACAGGTCAAGCGCGGCGGGGAGCGCGTTAGTCGGGCGCTCGGCGCCCGTGCGCTGGCCGCGCACCTCGACGCCGCTACGCGCGGACCGCGTGAACTTGAGCTTGCCCGTGACGTTGGCGAAGATCGGGTCGTCGTTTGGCACCGCGATGGGAAACGCGTCGCCGCCGCTCGGCGTCGAGACGATGGTGTGGTCGATGAATTGCCCGAAGAAGACGGCGAGTTCGTTTACCCCCCGCTTGTTGTACGCGTCCATGGACTGCCTGCAGAGAGCGTTGGACACGAAGCGCGCCGAGGGCCGATCGGCCCCCGTCGGCACGACAGAGGAGGCGGCATCTTCGAGCGAGGCGTGCGCGCGTCCCTTCGAGCCGAGAAGCCGGTGTTGGGGGTTGGTGCACGTGCCGTCGAAGGAACGGAAGTTTGGGTTGCAGACCGTGTCAAAGCTGGGCGCTCCACTTGGCGCGTCACGGTTGACTTGCCGTGTGGTTTCTAGACCGTCGGTGGCGTCGAGTTGCGGATGATGAGCGAGGGCAGAGAGGAAGAGAGTGAAGGAGAGGATGAGATATTTGGCGGCTCTTGCCATGGTAGCTATGCGAAGGAAGGCAGGACGCGATTGGAAAGAAGGAAGGGGAGCGGAAGGGAATGACGTCTCTTTATACCGGAGCTGGAGACTGCACGACGGGCCCGTTATGCTCGACGGCGCGGGTATGCTCGACTGTATCGTGAGCGAGTAGCCGATAGACGCGCTGTTTTAATCACCGGGGGGAAGCGATGCAGGCAGGCTGTTGTCGGGGGAGCCGGCGGGGGTGCACGCGGCAGGGAAGGAGAATGTTTGTAACTCTTGCGCGGAAGGAGCGCAGCAAGGGCTGGAAGGGAGTGCATCAGCATCGTGAGAATTGCGAGAGAAGAGACTTGCGCTTTGAATATTGGACCAACTGACATGTAAGGAGCAGTTCGAGCGGTATCGAACACCTCACACATAGTGTGTGGAGAATTCGGGGTTGGGTACGGTGTGCACATGTGTGTGGAGGCGAGGAGCAAAGCCGGGGGAAGACGAGTTGTTGCAAAAGTTTGTTCGGGTTGCCGATATGGAACCGGTCGGTAGGTCGCGCACAGAAGCGGGTGAGAAGAACAAGATGACACGTTTGCGAGACGAGAGGTGGTTCTTGTGCGTGCGTTTTGTCATGGAAGTGGGCTAGTGGAGGGTAGTGGGATGAGTGTGTGCTGTGCGAGTGTGCAACGGGCGTGCTGTACAGGATTAAAGAGAAGATGAGGAGTAAGAGCGGGGGGTGATTCGGACGGGTCTCGCGACGGGCAAGGGCGAATCCTCCCGGTCATGTCTTTCTGCTCCCTATCCATACTGCGTAAAGTTTAACATAACAACGGACATGTCTCGTGTCTTGCTGAGCAGTATGATCCTCCGATAGCGACTCTCCCTGACGTATCGACTACCGCCATCACTGTCTGGGAGATGACCCGACATGTAAGATCAGGAAAGCAATTAAAGTAACAACCTACAAAACGTCTTTACGGGCTTCAGTCAAAAAGGAAAAAACCCCTACCCTTGGGTGGGGGTGGGAATATGACTTGCTCTCCCGCGAAACTTTACATCCTAACCGACCCTACTTGGCACGCGCCTTTTCGGCCGCGGCCACCATGTTCTTGAGAGCCGGGATCACTTGCTCCCATTTGCGCGTCTTGAGCCCGCAATCCGGGTTGACCCACACCCTCTCCCTCGCGAGCCCCACCTTGCCGAACAAAGCAACACGCTCAGCGACCGCGTCCACGCCCGGTACAACCGGCGAGTGAATATCGTACACGCCGGGGCCGATGTCGCGTGCGTAGCCAAACTCGGCCAGCACGCGCAGCATCTCATCACCCGAGCGCGAGTTTTCAATCGTCAGCACATCGGCCTGCATGTCGTCAATCGCCTGCAGGATGTCTTCAAAGTCGGCATAGCACAGATGCGTCACAATCTGCGTGGCCGCCTGCACGCCCGAGGTGCTGAGCCGGAACGCGCGCACGGCCCAGCGCAGGTACTCGGCCCAGTCCTTGTGCTTGAGCGGCAGTCCCTCGCGAAGCGCGGGGTCGTCGACCTGGATGATCTTGCAGCCGGCGGCCTCAAGGTCGGCCACCTCGTCGCGAAGAGCCAGCCCGATCTGGTAGGCCTGCTTCTCATGTGAGATGTCCTTGCGCGGGAACGACCAGTTGAGAATCGTGGTCGCCCCCGTGAGCATGCCCTTGACGGGCTTCTCAGTCATTCCTTGCGCAATCTTGAACTCGCGCACGGTCATGGGGCCCGTGCGGGACACGTCACCCGTGATAATGGGCGGGCGGACGTACCGCGAACCAAAGCTCTGGACCCATCCATTCTTGGTAAACGCAAAGCCCGTAAGCTTGACGCCAAAGTACTCGACCATGTCCGAGCGTTCGCACTCGCCGTGCACAAAGACGTCCAAGCCCAAGGCCTCTTGCACGCCAATGCAAAAGCCGATCTGCTTGTCGATCATGCTGTGGTACTCAACCTCGGAGAGATTGCCCTTCTTGAACTGGGTGCGGACGCGGCGGATCTCCTTGGTTTGCGGGAACGAACCGATGGTGGTGGTGCCAAACCCGCCGGGGACGGAAAACTGTTGTGGGCGCCGCCTCTCAAATTTGGGCTCGCGAACAAACAACTCCTCATCGAGCGCATCCGTGATGGCATCCTGGACGATCTGGTCCATCTGGGCGCCCTTGGCACCGCTACCCGCAGGCTGCTTGGCCAAAGCGACGACGGTATCGAGCTTTTGGACGGCAAAACTGAGCCTGCTCCTGATCTCCTTGGGGATGTCGGTCTCGCATTCGACATCGATAGGCACATAATGCAACGAGCAGCTCGGCTGTACCGAGATCTCGACGCCATCCCCCACGGCCTCTCGAATGGCGGCGAGCATGGGCGGGGCAGTATCGGCATCGGTCCACACGGAGCGTCCATCGACGACGCCAGCGCCCAACCTAAGGCTGTTCGGCCACGTCATCTCCTTGAGCGCAGCCAAGTTGTTGCCTCGAGTGAAGTCGAGTGAGAGGCCATTGATGCCCGGAAGCGCGACTACCCAGGACAGGACGGCAGGGTCAACCGAGTCGAAGAAGGTGACGACGTGCAGAGGCAGGCGCGGCTCGGCGAGGGCCTTGTACGCGGTCTGGTACAGGTCCTTCATCTCGGCGGCCTCCGTGAGAACGAGGGCCGGCTCCTGCATCATGACTTCCTTGACGCCCATGGCCTTGAGCTCGGCGAGCAGCTGGGCGTAGACAGGGAGCAGCTTGGCCAAGACGTCCTTCGCTTCGACGCCCTCCAGCTTAGCCAGGTGGACGTACGTGACAGGCCCGAGGACGAGCGGGACGACGGGGTGGTTCCCGACGGTGTCCTGTGCGAGGCGGATCATGTCGAGAAAATCAGCAAAATCCGGGCGGGGAGCCGCAGCCGCGTCGATCTCGGGGACGAGGTAGTGGTAGTTGGTGCCGAAGAACTTGGAGAGGTCGAGCGCGGGGGCGTCGTCGACGCCGCGGGCCATGGCGAAGTAGCGGTCGAGGGCGGGGAGGTGGGCGAAGCGCGGCGGGACGCAGCCCAGGCGGCGGGTCCAGTCCAGCACGGGGTCGTACAGGGTGTGGTCGCCGACGGCGATGCGAGCGACGCCGGCCGCGTGCTGCGCGCGCAGCGAGTCGACGAGGACGGCTTCCGAGACGGCGTGCAGGTCCGCGGCCGTGGACTGGGCGCCCCAGTGCGACTCGAGGGCCTTCTTCATCTCGCGGTTGCGCCCCACGCGCGGGTAGCCCAGCGTGGCGGACGAGAGGGCGGCGGGCATGGTTGCGGGGGGGGGGGGGGGGGGTTGACGGATGCGTGGGGGACGGGGCGGTGCGGTGCGCAAGGGGCGATTTTGGGCGGCGAGGTGTGGCGCGGGTCGGCGGTGGGAAGGGGGGGACGTATTTATAGGGCGGCGGGCGGTCGGTGTCGGGGGAAGGGTCGGCGGCGGAGCGGAGCGCGGATGCGGATGATGCACCTCGGGCAATCGGGTGTGAGGGCGACAGAGGAGATGTTGCAATCAAGGGCCTGGAGGGAGGCGGGTCGGGGCGGCGGCGGCCAATGCGGGTGGCGCGAGGGCCGGTGAGACGCTGTGCCTCTGCGACAAGTGGCGCGGCCTCCGCAAATCAGGGCCTTTCTTAACCTCCGTGCGTGGGCGTGTGTGCACGCCTCCCTGTTCTCTCATTGGCCCCACGCCAGTTCAATAAATTCGATCGGCGGCCTTTACAGCTCTCTATCTTCGATAAGGGCACGTTGGAAAAGCTGGAGGAGGTATGATCACTAGGCTCGGCCCAACGCAGGCACTTCCTATAAAGATAATCGAACAGCAGAACGATTTGCTGATTCGCAATGTCTGGAGGTCCCAGCGGAATAGTCCTTCTTTGAAGGTACATATTCTCACACAATATGAGCGATTTCTTAAAGTATGGAGGACCCATTGAAGAAGCTTTTCTGGACCCCCAAAATCCCGCATATATTCATTCAGATCGACGATTCGGGAAATTTGCCTCACGGGGTCATTTTCCCAGGTTACTTTGCCGGCCGGGATGGGCCTTCAGGAACTGCGTGACCTTAGCAAGCGGGGCTGTTGCAGAGCGATAGTAACGCTGTAATGAAAAGGGAACTGTCTCGAAAATGTGCATGCTTTGTCAAAAAGCATTGAAAAGTATTCCGAAGGTGAGCTATAATTTCAAGCGTTGCGGACATTCGAATCTATACAGGAAATATCTGCCCAGATACACTCACAAATAGCAGCTACCGGTTATCTAGTTATCATCCCGTAGCCGTAACAGCAATCAGCAACAAAGCGAGTGCGTGCGAGATTCCCGTTTACAAGCTCAACACATGCCTGCGAAGGAGGGCTACATGGTCCGAATTGAGCTCCTACATCGAAGAGGTCTACCAGGAGTGCTACAGGCGGTGCATATATGATTAGGAGCGATAATGAGCTTTTTATTGCCTATATGCAACGCAGAAGGGATTTTGAGTACACAGAACTGTGCAGCAAAAGTGCTCATAGATTCGATGAGCCATCTGTTTTACACGAGTTCCATTGGGTTTTGACCTAGCCTTCCCTCCTTGTCTTCGTTTAACCACTCAAAAACAGGGCAGTCGCATGTTATAATATTGGACAAGAAAGTAGTCAGATCTACATCTTCCATATCTGCTACGTTATTATTCCTTTGGCACTCAGCAGCAAGATTGAGAAATGCAAACCGAATTCTCAGAAACGGAATAAGATTCTGTCCCTTAAGGTAACGCATATGGTGGATGACTCTATCGATGCGTGCATTAAAGGACTCTGCTGTTGTGGTACGATGGGTGTCGAGTTCTGCGTAGCTGTCCGCGTCAAAAAAGGAACAGCACTTGTGCGATTTGTAATGAAAACGGTCCACCACCAGGCGGCTCCAGTGAAGTAGCCAGGGGGTTCTCAGAATAGTGGATGAGAACATATTACATGCATTATCATAGTATATGACTCGAGGTGGGATTTGAAAGTGGCTTAATGCTGTTCACAACGCAAGTGACGTGGACTCAGCTCTTGTCATGACCACAAACCCGATTAGTTTCGGATTTTCACAAGCGCACTGTGCAGTCAGAAGTCCAGGAGAATGTGTATCCGAAAGAGGATATTTTTTGGTGCAGTGATGTGTCTCCGCTCCCTCGAAAACAATTCCATGGCGACACTGACGTCTTCCAGGGAAACAAATTCCGCTTACTTCCTGATCTTTACGCAGTAAGTCTGTATCAGTATCCACCCCGCTTCTCGAATCATTCATTTCTCCACGATGTTGATTAATTAATCCAGATCTCGTTCCGTCTCTGATCTGGGTCTCTGTGACAGATGCATACAACTCCCAGAACTTAACAGATTCCGGGGAGATTATATTGTCCAACGTTCGAAAATATTCCTCCGCCTTCTCGATGTGACGTGTCATGCATTGGGAGACAACGTCAGCCATATTTCTTGCCTGAGACATGTGAGTTCTTGAGCTTAGAGGCTCGAATAGAAATCTCGAAACGACAGGGTTGACCCTTCGGACATTCATAAGTTCATTGCAGACATTCTCACAGCATTGCAGGCATGGATATTCAAACAACGAAAATTTTGTATTATGGTTGCAATGAGCAAAGTCGTTGAGATTGTCCGTCAGTCTTCTATGCATGCAAAAAGATGGTTCTGCCATTGCCCGGCAGCTCCTTCTAAGGACTCCTGGACGAGTAAAGCGGTTCCAGGACACCTTCAAATCATCACGTTCACTTGGGTTGAATGGCATGATGTACACCAAACCCACATGTTCAGTTAGGAGGAACTCGACCAAATCCAGAAGGGATTCCAAAATTTGAGTCATTTTTTTTGGGACCAACACCAGCACACTACCAACCCAAACGCCTTTTCTGCAACGAGGGCCGAGCTCGCCGTCCTCATCACATGACTCGCTGTCCACTTCCTCCCTGTCGGGAAGTTCTCCCAACTCATTCTCAGATTCGTCACTCATCTGTTGTTCGATTTCAGTATACTTCTCTTGGATGCCAAAAGTCATCCTGAGCAGTTGTAGAACTTCGACCGCATCGTCGGATTTTTCGAACTTTTGCCATTTCCTAATGCATTTTTCGTCGTGTTCCACATCACGAAGCCATGATCTCCCACAAAAGCAAGTGTTTGGCTCCAAGTACTGTCTCATCAGTTCTACGTGAAGGGGTTTCATTGACGGCTTTTTTGTCGATTTCATGCCTGTAAGATGGAAATGGATTTCGTTTCCCACATTCAAGGATGAACTCCTTATTTTTCGACGTGCAAATTTGCACATTTGCTTGATTGCCTTGCGGTGCTCGATTGCTTTTACCATCCGCTGATTTCTCCTTATTGCAGCTGGAGCTGATAGCTTGTGAGCATCTCTTCGGAAAGGTGGGAGCTTCCCCAGGATACCTGCAGCGGTGCCATCTATTACGATAGCTTTGAATCGCTTCATTCCATCGCTTTCTGTCAACCCCAATTCCATTTTGTCTGACTGAGAAAGCGGTACCTCACATTCATCGCATGAAAATAGTTTCCAGGTCACCTTTTCGCTCTGCACGTCAACTGTGTCAAGAAAGTACCTTAGAGCTTCATTGGCTCTCCTCCTGCTCCGTTCAGCTTCCCCTGATATGCTCCCAAAGAAATCTCTGCCTTTGAATCTGTTTTGAGTGCTCACCGCCGTCGAGAAAAGCTTCGCTGCAAAGTAGGAATTTCTCATTGATAGGCCTCGGTAGCAAACGCTCTGCAAATACGCGTTAAGGATCTCAACAGTGAAAGCAGAGCCCTTCCTGACCGGAAATATACCTAGCCACTGCCCTGAGAAGAAGACGATTTGACTACAGTGACCACACTTCCAGTCTGTGACTGTTACCGATGGGGCGCCGTGCGAAAGCGTAAATAGCCGGATTGAACGGAACCAGAAATGCATATGATTTCCTTGTTGGTTACCACAATTTGGACACCTTGCCAGGCTAGCATCGTTTAAATGCAGACGGGTGCCGGGTTCGGAAGACTCAAGCATCCTTGACAATACACTAGTGGCGTTGACGTCTCCAGGACACATCATCAAGCTCCTCAAGTGGTCGTTGCGAAGGTATTTCCCATCTTCGGATCCATTTTCTCCGCCAAACCCTTCGTTGAAATCGATACCTTCTGCAACCTCATCTAATTCGCGCTCGCCATCAACGCTGAGAATCTCAACGCTTGAATCATTTCTGCTTGCCAGCGCGCAGGACGTTTCGTGGACACAGATCCCTCTTTTGTAGGTAGAAGAACGGCAATTTTGACATTGAAATGGCTTCCTTTCGCACCACAATACCGGTGTGAATACTCTGCGATGCGAATCAAAAACTACCCAAAACGACCATCCTCGTAAGGCTTGCCGGGTTCGAGAAGTTATCCTATTTCCTGCATCCCGTCGCAACTGTGCCACTGGGAACTGCTCCATATCTCCTGGGATGTGAGCCCCGAAATGGCTTTCGCCATCCCTCAGAATTGTATTAATCTGTTCCATGAAATCTCTCTCCGTGGAAACGATTTTGACATGTTCACAGCTCGAAGTTTGAGTATTCGATACAAATGAATCGCATGTACAGCCCATTGAAACTGTTGCTCTTGTGCACCAGAAGTTGACACAAATACATTTAGGTGGCCTGGTCATGGTCTGCCATAACAGGCCAACCGTACAGGTGACAGAATCCTTGGAATGTTGCAAGCGGGCTGACATCATAGCAATCTCTCTTCTTTCGACAAGAGCATGCTCCAGTCTTATTTTCCTGCCGTCTCCCGGATCATCCGAGAGAAAATCAATAGTATGCTGACAACTTCGGACCATCTTCTTGAACAGCTCCTCCTCCGATAGCCTCACCTCTCCCCCATCAGTTCTCTTTCTTCTAACGCTCCCAAGTGAGCCCAATCTTAGAGGGAATGCGGAGTGTTTCGTCGCTTTTCCTACCGGCTCTTCTTGATAATCCAGTAAGTCAATCATCTCGTAATCAGATGAGCCCTCGTTGCTGCCTTCAGACTGGTCTTTGTGGCTGTCGTGTACATTGCACTGAACTATATCTTCATCGATAAGCTGAAGATCATTCAAAGTTGTGTTTTCTGTCCTGATTTGCGATATCGTGCGAATTCGCGTAGAAAAGAATGGCTCAGATCCTTCAGCGTCTCTAAATACCGCGGAGAGTACATGTGTCTCCTCGGTTTCGTCATCGTGAATGGTCGTGATTCCGGAATCGTTTGTTTTCGCGTTCATTTCCCACAAC